GTTTTGAAGGATGATACCTGAGTACTTTTTTTAAGGCAACTTGTTCTTTCTTCCATTTATGAAAAATAGTATTGGCGATGTTATATTTTGTATTGTATATTATTTTTTATACAGGGTGTGGCGTAAAGAGTGGATAACCTTTAACCTGCAGTCAGAGGACACCATTACGATTCAAAAAATTGAAAATTGTGTCTAGTAAAAGTTGCACGGTTTTCAATTTTTGAGACGTTCTTCAAATTTGGATGAAATAGGCACCTTCACTCACGGTTTTAAGTCTCGTGATAACACATGATGGGTTTTTATCATTCTTTTTTCAACATAGTATTCTTGGATTGTTACACAGTGTAGAAAGCATCAATGCTTAGCGTTCGCAGATGACATTTCAATTTTTGCTACAAGCAAAAGAGAATTAATACATCTGCAGAACTTTAAGAATCCAATTAGGGGGTACTGAATCAGATGCATTCGAATAGTCGATGTTACAAGCACAAAATTCTGTTTTGAACGAACTTGCGCAGCAGTGACAGCATCTATCGTTAGAAGTTCTTTGCAGCCCCTTGGTTCCTCTTGAACAGCCTTTTTGTAGTGGCGATATTATATCATTTCTTTCGTAATGTCTTTGCAACTTGACATTCAGAATTGATGTTAGTAACTTGTATGCTGACGATAGGCACGTAATGGACTTGTAATTCTGTGGATCTTCTGGGTTGTCTTTCTTATAAATCAGATATGTAGGATAGGGCGGAAACAGTTTTGGATCTTCTGAACATGCGATCCAAGCCGATGCGAGGTGCTGGTGGAGTAAGGTGAATGCCTTTATTCAAAAATTGTGTATTAAGTCCAGGAGCCTTCCAGTTATTTGATCCATTTAGGGATGCAGCTATGCCCTCTTTGCTGATACTTGGAGTTTCCATATCCATATCATTGCTGGCACTATTCTCAATTTGTTCCATCCACGGATATGTTAGGTTTGGTTTACTTGCCTCAATTCACAATCCCTTCGAATATTGCGAAAGCAGTTGGTTATCTAGCTTCACACATTCGTTTGCCTTAGTGTCACTGGTGGGCTTGCTATAGAATATCATTTGGTTGCTAAAAATAGAGCATTTTACCACTTCCTTTTACATGCTCCACTGTACTTTTTCAAACGTGCTCCCTTAGCCTTGCCTCATGTTATTTCATCCCTGTTTTCTTGTTTGTATCAAGAGAATCGGGTGAAGTATTCATCGCTCGAAAAACTGTATCCATCTGACAACATACCCTGTTCGACCTGACACCACCTAAATATACTAAGTGACATATAAATCCGAACACCCAGTTTAAATGGTTTTATTTTAATAAAAGTTGGTGAATGTATTTATCTTACTGTAAATAACAAGTGAAAAAATTTTCAGCCTTATCAGTTGGACATTCCGGTTTTTATACTGCTTTTTTTAATTCACTAACGTTCTAAAAATGAATATTTCAGCCGCAGTAAAGAATCAACGTTGGCGGATTTTGGTTCTTGACATCCTTTACGATCGGTTACGATGGCTAGAGTACGGAGACCTGTACGATTTCGTCAACTTAGTGAGTTTGATAGGGGCCGTATAGTGGGACTTCGGGAAGCTGGACTTTCTTTTCGGGCAATTGCAGTTAGAGTGCAAAGAAGTGTAGACACTGTGGTTAGGTGTTGTCAGGCATGGCTTCGAGAAGGCCGTACGCAAAGAGCAAGGGGCGCTGGACGCCGCCGTAGAACAACAGACCGTGAAGATCGCCGCCTAAGATTATTGGCCTTAAGGGACCGTTTCTCCACTACCAGGTCCATTGCAAATGAATGGTTTGCAGAACACGGAAGACCTATTGACATGCGAAGTGTTTACCGACGAATGAGAAGTTTTGGCTTGTTTTCATACCGGCCACACTGGGTCCTCCCTTTAACTCGAGAACACCGACGTAATCGCCTTGAGTAGTGCAGACAACGGTCACTCTGGGATCAGGAATGGAACAGTATTGTCTTTAGTGACGAGTCTCGATTTTGTTTAGGCATGCACGATGGTCGTGCCAGGGTTAGAAGGCGACGTGGTGAAAGGAGGAATCCACAGTTTTTTGTTGAAAGACATGTTCATCACACTGTTGGAGTTATGGTTTGGGGTGCTATAGCTTATGGTTCCAGGTCACCTTTAATCTTCATCAGAGGTAACATGAACCCCATCTTTTACCCTATCTTGACACCCTGGCAGATTCAACTTTCCAACAAGGTAATGCCCGACCACATGTTGCAAGAGTCACAATAGACTTCTTTCAACATAATGATGTCACATTGTTACCATGGCCACCAAGATCTCCCGACTTATCCCCAATTGAGCACGTGTGGGATATGATGGGTAGGAGATTGCTCAATTTGCAACGTCCTCCTCAGACTCTAGAAGCACTTCGAGAGGAGCTGGTGGTTGCCTGGAATCAGATACCAGGACATTGACCACCTGATCAGAAGTATGCCTAGGCGCGTTGGAGAATGCGTAGCATATCAGGGTGCATCCACACATTATTAAAGGTCAAAGGGCTTTAAAGCAGTGCAATCATTTTGAAATTTTTATCATTTACTTATTATGCTTCATTAAGTACTTATACAAAATTTTATTAAAATAAAACCATTTAAACTGGCTGTTCGGATTTATATGTCACTTAGCATATGTAGCTATTAAGTCCGCTTTTGATCTATATCCATCAATTTCATTGACAAGTCTTCTTTTCCAGGGTTCAATAGTTTCGTCTCGCGCGTTTCTGCGGTCGGTGGGCGATTTGTCAACCATATGGTTATTTTTATCTAGAACTGAGATAGCTGCCACATACAATAATAAGTGAATCTAACTAGGCTGTTTTCACCATCGTTAAGTTGTTTTTGCCGTATACTGTGTTCATTAGATACGTTTTTGGCTTATATTATTATTAACTCAAAAAACAAATTAGATACCCGAAAAATACGGATGCATGTTCTGCAAAAGAATATATGGGGGTTCTGGGGAGCGTCAAGCTACTTTTTCTTCCGAAGTCAGACCTCACGCACATTGATAAATTGCTCGTTAAATAAAGCTATAATGATCTGACAGAAAAACAACACAACGGCAGATCGATTAGCGCAACCAAATCCGTGCGTGTACCGAACAAAAGTATAAAGTGCCGATAAACCAGTGTACGTCCATTTAGATGCAAATGAGGTGCATCCTAGTTATTCATCTTCCCCCTTTTAGGTTGATTAAATATAGTGTAAAGCCTCTTTCATGAGGGGTGCTGGCGCCCCACACTATCATAGAAGTTAGACCATGGAAAGACGGAAAGCTTTGGTGCGAGAAGAGGCATTGATGTTTCGGAAAGCGCATCATGGAAGTTCTATCGAGAGAGATCTACGAACTGTTTATGCTCATAGCTTATACTATCAATCAATGTCAACGTTTTACAAGCAGCTGTAACGTGAATCAACGTATTATGTGATTTAGAAATCTGGTTGCAGTTATGTTTTCAGCAATACTATATACGAAGCCACTTATATAGCTTGAATTTTGTGCAAAATTATATATAAAAAATTACGTTGGTAGCTTAAAACACTTGTTATACCTTATTTCACGAGTATCCATCATGGTAGAATGACAGCCGATTATCTAGTAATATCTGAAAATTTCCCATATTGGCACAGGACACAATAATTCTGATGAATCCGTCAACACTAGGTAGGCAGAGCCGTATTTTGTTTTCTTGTTTTGTAGGCTACATATTCATTTTGTACTTACTAAGAGCTCTTTTATTTAGAAACGTTCATTTACATACAAAAAAAGGAAAGCCACAAACAAGTTTCACTAGATTTATACCCGATTCATTATTGCCAACGTTGAAGACAAAAATGTCACACCTCAGTAGACCTCAAAGTGTGATGGATACTCGTGGAATAGGGTACACCTTATTTCACGAGTATCCATTACGCTTTGAGATGAACAGCTGCTCACAGAAGGGACATCTCTGTGTTAATTTGTAACGTTGGCAATAATGAATTTCGTACCGTATTCAGAGCTGTTGTTCACATATCAGGATTATATTTTTAAGTGGGTGGAAAATGTGACAACAAAAATGTACAAGTTCAGATATAGAAAAGTTTATCAGAAAATTATTATAGTATGTTTCACCTGGGATTCATTGATTACATGGTATGTCAATAGAACAGGTTGTGTAGTCCTTTCCAGAAGCTGTAAATTTACCTGTAAAAATAATATGGACACGTGTTTCTTGTTTATTGTCCGTCATCAGTGTAACGTAGTTCAATTACAGATTAAGTACGTGCAGAAACTATCATAAAAATTAATGATGAATACAGCTTGTTTAAAATACCACTCTGATGTAAAAGGATTTGGTCTTGCACAATACATCAACCTGCAAATTAAATATTTACAGACACCTGTCCTTTCACAGTCATTCCAAAGTAATTGTGGAGCTAGTACACACATTAGACGCAATCCCACTACGCTAGTCACTAAAACATTTGTCTGCACTATCCTCATCAGACCCAACCAGATTTATAACGAATGGCTGACGATTTTCAATAACAGAGGGTACAAAGATCCACAACAAAATTCGAGTCTGTCTACCTGGAGGTCACCGATCCCTCGGAATGAATTATGTGACCTGTGCCGATATGGAGAACCTTGAAATATTACTAGATACCTAGCTGTCACTGTCCAATGATGGATACTCGTGAAATAGGGTGTATAGAGAGACATTCGGTATTCCTAACCCCAGAAAATACGGTTTGTATACTAGCACATTCAAGCTATTTCCCGCCACGAAACTTTTTGATTTTGGATCAGACGCCCTTTTATGAAGAGATATATACTAAGTGACATATACATCCGAACACCCAGTTTAAATGGTTTTATTTTAATAAAATTTTGTATAAGTACTTAATGAAGCATAATAAGTAAATGATAAAAATTTCAAAATGATTGCACTGCTTTAAAGCTCTTTGACCTTTAATAACGTGTGGATGCACCCTGATGTGCTACGCATTCTCCAACGCCCGTAGGCATGCTTCTGATCAGGTGGTCAATGTCGTCCTGTGGTATCTCATTCCAGGCAACCACCAACTCCTCTCGAAGTGATTCTAGAGTCTGAGGAAGACGTTGCAAATTGAGCAATCTCCTCCCCATCATATCCCACACGTGCTCAATTGGGGATAAGTCGGGAGATCTTGGTGGCCATGGTAACAATGTGACATCATTATGTTGAAAGAAGTCTATTGTGACTCTTGCAACATGTGGTCGGGCAATATCTTGTTGAAAAGTTAGATCTGCCAGGGTGTCAAGATAGGGTAAAAGATGGGGTTCTAGAACTTCGTGGATATAACGCTGCGCGTTCATGTTACCTCTGATGAAGATTAAAGGTGACCTGGAACCATAAGCTATAGCACCCCAAACCATAACTCCAACAGTGTGATGAACATGTCTTTCAACAAAAAACTGTGGATTCCTCCGTCGCCTTCTAACCCTGGCACGACCATCGTGCATGCCTAAACAAAATCGAGACTCGTCACTAAAGACAATACTGTTCCATTCCTGATCCCAGAGTGACGTTGTCTGCACCACTCAAGGCGATTACGTGGATGTTCTCGAGTTAAAGGGAGGACCCAGTGTGGCCGGTATGAAAACAAGCCAAAACTTCTCATTCGTCGGTAAACACTTCGCATGCCAATAGGTCTTCCGTGTTCTGCAAACCATTCATTTGCAATGGACCTGGTAGTGGATAAACGGTCCCTTAAGGCCAATAATCTTAGGCGGCGATCTTCACGGCTGTTGTTCTACGGCGGCGTCCAGTGCCCCTTGCTCTTTGCGTACGGCCTTCTCGAAGCCATGCCTGACAACACCTAACCACAGTGTCTACACTTCTTTGCACTCTAACTGCAATTGCCCGAAAAGAAAGTCCAGCTTCCCGAAGTCCCACTATACGGCCCCTACCAAACTCACTAAGTTGACAAAATCGTACAGGTCTCCGTACTCTAGGCATCGTAACCGATCCTAAAGGATGTCAAGAACCAAAATCCGCCAACGTTGATTCTTTACTGCGGCTGAAATATTCATTTTTAGAGCGTTAGTGAATTAAAAAAAAAGCAGTATAAAAACCGGAATGTCCAACTGATAAGGCTGAAAATTTTTTCGCTTGTTATTTACAGTAAGATAAATACATTCACCAACTTTTATTAAAATAAAACCATTCAAACTGGGTGTTCGGATTTATATGTCACTTAGTATATATGGTATCAAGTTTTACCAAATAACGGTCTGTTTGTTCAGAAACAGGTTATACATATCATTTCACTAGTAGGAATTCTTTGATCTAAATTCAGAAAGTAGGGAAAGGGATACCTACCTGAAACTAAATAAGGCCACTTGATCATGTGTACAAACATTGTTCTTTTATTTCTAATAATAAATCTCACAATTATTCAACGCATTTACATACATAAATAAATTGAACATCACTTTAAACAAACTTGGATATTTTCAAATAAAGTCTGCATCAACAGGAGGCTCCACTTCCTCTATAACATTATAAAATACAGCAAGGCTGTGTTGAACACATGTTTAGTATAAATGCCCATCAGATTTTTGCATAAATACATTTTCAAAGTTTTTCCCATTCCGCCACGTCTGCAGTGACTTCCCCATACAGGGTGTTTCATTGGGAGCAAGAAATGTTCTAACCATGGATATAGATGCCTTATGATTGATTATTTCACTTGATCACCATGATTAATCCACTTCAGAGCTACTGCACCAATAACGGCAACATTCGAATATGGAGCTCCTCGCGAAAAGCACAAGTTAAACTGAGGACTTCGCAGCCCGTCAACGGCACTGCGCCTGTCGCATACTGCCGATCATTCACGAATGAAGGGCGAGTCCTATTGAGTTCGCAGTTCAAATAATCAGTTTAACTAATTTATTTAAATGTACATTTTCTACATAAACTCAACTACCTAATCTAACTAAACAGATTAATAAAAATAATAAAAATTTCAGACAGACAGAGCGGCGGAAATAATTTACATATTATCTCATTTTAGAAACTTTTCGCGATTGCAGTCCTTCCTCGCCAGTAGCGTAGGAAGTAAAAATTTACTGTCAAGCTATCCCTGATTAAATAACAGTCCGCCGTCCCTTTTTGGTTCCGGTGGATCATGGATATCATCTAAATATTTAAAACAGGATGCCAATTACGGTAATAGTAATATCCATAGCAAGGGTTCGTCCGAAATCGGAGGGGAACAGAGTGATACAGTTGATAACAGTTTATTGAGGGTGGCTAGGATCAAAGACGTTGCTCAACGTTTCTAGAGTGCGCTGTAAAATAAGCACTATAGAAAGTAAATCGGTGTATTACTCAGAACGTCATGAATATTTTATACATGAAAATGTTTGATACAAATTGGGTATTTGTATGTTCAGTGCGTAAAAATCCACTTTGCCGCTCGAGAAAAATTGAAATAATGGTACATGTAACAGTATTAATATTACCGGGGCATTTAACGCGCAGCATAGAGGTTGGTTTAAATTTCTTCATTATCGTTCCGGTAAGCTGTGATTGAGGTACGTGTCCATTATTCTTAATTATATACTAATTTACTCTGTAACATGTGCCAGAAATTTGTTCAAAAAGAGGGTGAAAATTTTCTTGGGATCAAAAATAAAGTTAAGGATGGTTTCTCAAAAACGAAACGTCGTACACAAAATTTAAAAACATCATCATGTAGAGCCTAAAACGTGCCAAGTAAAAAGTTGTATTAGTTTTTTGATATATCTTAAAACAACAAATTTTGGCCCAATTTTAGTTCTTCCCAAATACCTCAGTAAGCCACAAAATTTTTAAAAGTTTCTCAACGGCGTGTAAATACGCCCTAAAGAACGCAACTTTTTTTTTAATTTAACCTAAGCCGCATCTCTCAAAGGTAATGGGATACTTATCTTATACAATAAGTATATACATAATTCAAACAATCGTATTTCTCCAAATAGTAAAATTGGTTCGTTCTAGGCAGCGCGGTGGCGACACCGTGTTTCTACTAACCTAGTCGCCATGAACTGCTCGGGTTCTAAGAAAATGTATTTGCAGATTGTAATTGTCTATGGTTTGTAGACGATCTCACACCATCAAGCCTGAAGGCACCACCTGGCGGTGGGTCCAAAATGTGGATAAAAAATTACGCCAAGCGACTGTGGCGCGTAACATGTGCTGCGAGTGTTTTAGTTTGCAACATGCGCCTGACAGTTCTGTGCGGGCAACCTGTTGCAGATATTTCTGCTAGATTGCAGCATGTTGCGGTACAACTGGCAGTTCAGATGTATTTTAATTCTCTACAGTTGCAGGGAGATTTTACGCAGCATCGGACCAGGGCATGTCGCTGTAGCTTGTTAGATTGGAAACGTACATTTACAGCAAAAGCTGCCTGAGAAATTTCGTTTTGTTGGTGTGATAAAATTTATTGTTGCCGCCCTGCGGCTTGGACATACAAACACACAAATATAGTACAGAATAAGTATGAAGAAAAGAAACAATACGCACATAAAGAGAAATATTATGTCCTCGTAGCAGAGTACCTGCCCACTCGTTCCAAATATCCATTGCGTAACTGTTAATTTCACCATTCGCTCTGGGTTGCAGCCTCAAGCTTCCAAAGCTACCCATCACTTTCCCCCTTGCATTTAACCTTTATTCTGCAGTCATACATTCTTCTCTTATATGCTTTGCACTTTCTCGTCTGCCACACTCACATTCACCTATTTCGGTCATGAGTCTACTCTAAGCATGTAGGCCGGAAAACTACCATGTTTATTGACAAGCTTGGAAACGCTCCGACATCATTGCATACCTCGTATACTTCTCTCCTGTTTTTGTCGTTCTGATTTTGCGTTATCGTCCGCTTTAATCATTCTTACCTCCTGTCATTTTCTAGCCTATATAAGCATCATTTTCATATCTTGTTTCCTCATGTACTCAACATTTATTTTTCTTTCGTTCTGAAAGTACTTTTCATCCCTCTTTTTGTTGGTCTAGTAGTATAGTTCGTTCAAGGTTCTCTTCACTATAGTGTTAGCCGTAAAGATAACAAAAAGAATCTCATCCAACCAATGGCAGAGTGACTCAGCGGCAAATACTTGACATACCTCGGTTTTCCGTTCCGTTCCCCCATTTAGGGTTTGTAGGGAGAGTGAGCCAGTCCTGGTACGTTTGCTGACATCAGCCAAACAAAATTAGTCCAGGAGTATTAAGCATAGAAAAATATATTCGGCACCAATTAATCCCTCTTAGAAAAAAGTTGGCAACATGTGTATCAAAGGAATTAAATGAGCTGCCTGACAAGCATATATCAGAAATCTACTTCTATGATGCAAGTTTTAAGTGCCAATGTACTTGGGAATGTATGTATAATAATAATAATAATCCGGGTTTATTTATACAAAGTATAAAAAGGCGAAGTGTCGCTAAAAAGCGTTTTTCAACATAACCCAACAAATATTTATGTATATTTTCTAATCCCAATGAAAACAAGAGTTAAAAAAAAACCTGTAACGAGTCCTTATTCATGGCCATGGTCTACTTACTGGGCAATGAAATCAGAGATAAAATTCTTCAATCTTTTTTTGAAATTCTTTATAGAGTAGTGAGTGAACTCGGTAGGCAACGCGTTGTATGATGTATGAATTACTGGTGTTGAAAACGTATGAGCTGCTAGCACTAGAAAATGGGCATGTACTTTGCCCTACCTCCTACAACCCCAACATACAAATTTTAACACGTGCAAAATTTTTTTTGATAATAATCAGAAACGTTAAAAACGAAGTTTGAGCAATTTTTTTTTCATCATCTGCTTGTAGCTCCGCCGCCACTGGACCAATTTTCAAAAACGACAAAGCGTTTCCGCCATTGGCATAGTAGTACTTGTGTGAAAATCTCATCAAAAGCCGAGCAGAACATTTCTATGGCCAAGGATTAGCGGATAGGCAGAACGTGGTTGTCGTGATAAACATGTCATGTAACATCCAAAAGACATACGTTAACATCTCATTTTCGCGATTACTTGGAATCTCAATGTGATGCTGGCCCTAGATGGCTAGATAAAGCTACATAAAGTAGCAGTAGCAGTAAGTCGCTTATACGAGGGATGTCTTTTAAGTTTTGCATATGAAATAAAACAACACGGTAGGTAGTTTTAAATGACTTTATTCTTTTTCGTAGTATCCTCCACGAAGATTAATAGACGTCTTCATGCGCTCGAACCAATTTTCGAAGCACTTATTCCACTCGTTTGCTGGCAGATCCAAAACGGCATTTTTGAATGCGTCAACTGCTTCTTCTGGTGACTGGAACCCTTGACCACGCAGTCTGTTTTTAATTTTCGGGAAAGTGAAGAAATCGTTAGGACTTAGATCGCGACTATATGGAGGATGGTCCAATAATTCCACGTTTTCTTCCGTTAAATACGGCCTTGTTTTTTGGGCTGTGTGCGAGCTTGCATTGTCTTGGTGGAGGATGATTCTTCTTTCCGGATTGATTTTTCGAAGCTCGGTGATGACTTTTGGCAAACAAATGGTGGTATACCAATCCACAGTAACAGTTTTGAATTGAGGTCTTTGAGATCTTCAAGGACGCCTCAATCTCGCGATATGCCACATGTCTATCTTCAATGATGAGTTTGCGCATAGCATCGACGTTTTCCTGGGTGACTGCCATTTTTGGAGCACCCACCCTGGGATCGTCGCTAAGACTCACCCGTCCACGTTTGAATTCTTCATACCAACGGGAAATTGTCGACTGATGTGGCGCTTCGTTGCCGAAAACAGACAGTAACTCAGCAAGGCTTTCTTGTTGCGATAATTGTCTCTGAAAGTTGTAATAAATTATGGCGCGAAAATGTTCTCGGTTGAGTTCCATTTTTCTAATGACTTGGTGACACTTAAAAATTCACTGCAGTGAGAACACTGCACGTATTGTTGTGAAACTTTGAATTTAAGTTTACTAAAGAGTGAGGTTAAGATTCAGTACTGACGTTCGATCCGCGCGGCCTACTATGTTTCTATATCTAAATGAGGGAGAACTACCTTCTTAAACCTCCGTTTCAGCTCTTTTTGTCGTTCAAAAACAACAATTTGACTGGATAACATCCCCGAACCGCCCAAAGCAAAATGCGAGCGTTGCAAGGACCCTGCGCGCCTGGAGGGGTGCCGTCGACGTCGGCAACCAGGGAATACAAACGAACAGCAAGCGAAACGCAAAAAGCAGGGGATGAACGGTGCGTAATCGTGATGAAGTCAGCTCAACGTCTTTATTAACTGCTAAGTGAGATCGGCAGACAGTCAGCAATCATAAGGGCGCACGAGCTCGGTTGCACAGATCACCCTGTGAAGACGCACCGCACAAAATCAAAGACAACGCGTTTTTCCGAATAAGGAAAATATGTTTTCTACAATCGCGTGAAAAAGTAAATCTTACTGTAAAACACACAAAGTTAACGTTGTAACCGGCAGAGGGCAGCTGTAGTCAACCCTTCACTCGTTTATCCAGTTGTTAATGAATGAAATGCAGAATTATGTTTACCTTTTAATGAATAATTTCCAGTGAATTCAAAATATGGACAATTACAATATATTTAAATATACAGGGTGACAGGTAAATAGGTGTAAAACATTTTAGGAGGTGATAGTACAGCCCCTTTGCTATCGAAATTAGTATTTAATACCATACCCTATATTCAAAGGTTGAAAAGTTATTGAAGATTTAAGATTTTTTTTAAAACAATCCATATTTCAGAGTTAAAAAGTCTAGAGAGAAAAAAGTTGGCGAATAAACATTTAAACATTTGTTTTTTGTGGTTTTGGGTTATTATTTCAATAATTAACTATTATAAATTAAAAAAGATTCGGAAACAATACCAAACAACGTGTTTATTTTCATTCAAAAATGTTTAGCTAAGAAAAACAAATAACGTTTTACAGTAAGTAAAGTGTTTTACAAAAAAATCGGTATACAAAAAAACGTACAAACAATTTAAATAATATCCTTGTTTCATAAGGAATCTAAATTCGTATGATAAGTGCACAAAAACTGTGTGAAACTAAACATAATGTATTGTAATACAACAATAGGGAGTACATTTACCAATGGCTTGTCTCCTATTTTCACAACTCTCTGATTGATAAGAAAGTGTTTTTGTGAAAATAATTAACTGTAAGCTATGGGATAGTTATTATTTTGAACTACGGTTAAGTTACACGATTAGATTATTTACACAGTTGTAATTGTACTACAGATTAATAAAAACTGACTAAAAGTTACTACAATTGGTAAGTAAAATACAATAATGAAATGAAGGTAAAATTCATTGCAATTGTTGTTCGAACTGACGCCCGCCGTTTCTTATGCAAGCCCGTAGTCTTTTTCTCATGTTGGTACGCGTGATGCGGCCAGTTAGTTGTCCTCTGATAGTGTCAGCAGCAGCAATAATTCTTTCTTTCAACTGTACAAGAGTGTCTATGGGCTCAGCGTACCCCAGTGACTTCATGTGCCCCCATAAATAATAGTCACACGGTGTTAAATCTGGGCTCCTCGCTGGCCACGGTGTCGGTCTACCTCGGCCAATCCAGCGACAAGGATATTTCTCGTCCAGCCACTGTCTAACACCCAGACGGAAATGCGCGGGACAGCCATCGTGTTGGTAGATCATCTGCCTCCTGATATTCAGAGGCAGGTCTTCGAGATACTCCCAGAGTTCGTATCTCAAAAAGTTTTCATAGGATTCGCAATTCAGGTTGTCAGGCAAAAAACTGGTCCAATTAGATACGTATGCATAATTCCCATCCACACGTTTGCCGAAAATCTTCTTTGATGGGCTCTTGGCTTTGCCATGTGGGGATTTGCCGCTCGTGGGGCCCAGTAATGTACGTTGTGATACTTTGTTGTCCCCTCTCTGTCAAACTTAGACTCGTCGGTCCACAATATTTTAGTTAAGTAGTCGTTTTCTTCTTGATCCCGATGAAGCATGTATCGACAAAAATCAATTCTTCTTGCGGGATCTCCTTCTTCTAATACTTGAACCGGTGTGTAATGGAAAGGGTAAAGTCTCGCCGAATGCAAAACGAACCAAACTTTCCACTGAGTTAAACCAAGCTGCTTTGCTATAACTCGTGTAGACGTCGTCGGGTCTCTGCCGTAGCATTCCAGTATTGCCTCTCGATCTTCGTCGTCAAACAACCGAGGTCTACCAGCATCATGACGTCTCTCATGAACCTGTCCACTTTCCTTGACGCGTTGGTACACAGAAGCAAATACTCGATGACTCGGTATTCGCCGATTCGGAAAACGGTTTTCGTATTCTCGCCTGGCTTCAACGGAATTTCCATCACTTAAACCATAACAAAACAGAATATCAGCGTATTCTTCGTTACGGTAACTTGCCATTATTAAAACTGATCAAAAAAGTAAAAGTACGTCCTACCGCGTTAAAGGTTGATATTCAACTAACTAACCTAAGCATTAGTTCCATTTCCTTGATCCGTCAGCTGTGTCAATTCATAATACACGCAGGGCTTGCTTCCCAGGTGCGACGACAGATTCCGAATACTTAAACCCGAATAACCGCACAGGGCACCAAAAATAACAAAAAGGGTCGAACCGTGAAAGGCTCGGATTACCTGGTCAGTACAATGAAATGCGCTTAGCGGTCCTTTCTAGCAAAGTAATATTGTTTTGTTAAATGGTTTACTTACTGATATGTTATTATACCATTTTAGAAACCTAATGAAATGAGGAAGTTTTTGCAGTTATTTGTACATTTTCTTAATTATGATCTTTTTGAAAAAAAAGACTTCTTAATGTGAAAGTTGAAAATAAAAATTTTCATTTAACATCTAGTAGTGTTTTCATATGTTTTTTAATTCATGAGAATTATTTATTTAAATAATAACCTGAAACCACCAAAAAAAGAATGTTTTTTCGGATTTTTACATGAAACCCTTGCGGTACTCCCCAAATTATAGCGGGGCCAACTATTAGCGGACCAACCTACGGAAATGGGTGATGGCGTTTACAAGCTTCTATTTAACTTGACCTGCTTGAGTGTTAGTATGTATGTGTGGGAGAAATCTTCTCTTCATTTTGTTTTGACCAAATCTTAGAACTATTTTTGAACCAGTCAACTTTAAGCAATTGAGCTGTACACACGTGACAATACAAAATGAATTATCTGTTGCCATTTTGGAACCCAATACGGTGGATGTTACAAAATGGCGATTTATCATTTCCCTACGATATGGGCATCAAATATCAAGGCTTGATGAAAGAAACACAATAAGCATAGTCACATCTATGATATGAGTATCACTGCGAAATGGCGATTTACACTTTCCATAGTTACCCCTATAATTAAATGAAAACGCCTGATGAGGGAAACATAATTAGCAAAATGACGTCATTGCAGATCCAATATGGCGGCTGCCGGTGAATGTCGATTTATAATGCAGCGCTATAATAGGATAATGATATGTAAGGGCTTAATGAGAGAAACGCCGTAAGCAAATATCGTCAATCTAAATTGCAAATAGCGATAGCCGCAAAATATCGATTTATCATTATACCATATACATATATCCAAATTTTATAATACAGATAAAGTAAGAAAATTGATACTAATATAATATAAGAAAGTTATATAGAGATTACCATACTGGTTATTTGACATACTGAAAAGTAACAAATGAATAAAATTAAAAAGATCCATTTTTTTTTAAAAGCTTTGACTTTTATTTTACTTATTCATGATTTTCTGAGATTACAGTACTTCCTCTCCAGTGGCGTGGAAAGTAAAAAGGAATGAACATATAATTATGTTCATTGGAAATTGTTGATGTGCGTATACTAGTTTGTACGATGTTAAGTTTCACATTGCCTTACCTGCCTACGTAGTCTTCTGGGTACGGTACGATGGTACCTTCCGGACTGGGTCTTGGTGTGCTGCCGACCCAAAAAAATGCATCCGGTCCAGTACCATCGTAGCAGAAGCCCTTTATGAAGATGGTACTCTCGTCCACTGCGTAGGCAGTACCCTTGATGCCATGGGCGAACTCCACTAAGCGGCCTATCTTGCGCCCAAAATACGGTTCTGGATGCTTTCCTCCTAGTGCTGAAAAAAAGGAATTACTGTGGCCAATGTTTTTTGTGAGATATATTTGGAGTGATATAGTAAGCCCGTAACAAGATAATTTTCACAAATGAAGTGCATTCCAAGCATTTCTTATTTGATTGGGTGAAATTCGAGAACGTCCCCAAACTCCGTTTTTATATTGTAACGAAAACACATTTCTTATCGTTCAAAGTCAAATTTATTCCTGCTCCTCTAATGTATAACCCTTGCAATTAATTTATAATAAATTTAAAACTATGTTGACTGAACCATTATTCCATCATAATTCCGCGTTCTCTGTTCACTGGTTCGACTGTGTCTGTAGACTCGACTAGAAACTCCTAGATTCCTTCTAGATAACGCCGCAAGCATTCACGCACGTGAACACGATCGTTCTCGAAACTCCGTAATCTGCTATACATGGTAGTGGAACTCTGGTTGCCTAATTTTACGATGTCATGTTTTTGCTATTCAAGGTCTTAGTTACGACGGCATTACTATATGCTTCACGACTGTCCAATCATTTTAGCGCAGTCAATTTCTTAGATTTCCAAATATTTATTTTGTAGACTTTTTACTGGCGAAAAACTGAAGCCCGTGTTGCTTAAGACCCAAGATGACCTTCTAAAACGAATTATTTATAGATTTCTGTCAGTACTAACACAATAACTTTGGTGTTGTTTCCAGTTTCGCTCTTGGCAACGCTGTAACACCCATTCGCAAATTTATTCTGTCCACCATTTTGGCATTCAAATTT